TCAGGTTAGGAGGTTTTTAATGTCATTGTATAAATCCCACTTCTGTCTCCTTTGGCTAGTAAACTTAACTTTTAGACTGAACTGATCTGAAGAACTCAGACCGGTCTCGGTAATTGACCGGTCCACATCGAGACCAGCAATGAGCGTATCAGTTATCTTATCTGCAAAAAGCAGCTAAGTGGGTTTTTTTCTTCTTTTGGTGTTATAAATATGAAGATTGTATATAAAAACTCACAATTCAGTTTATCTTACTAAAAAATGTTACAAACAAAAGGCCTGTCGATCCTCTCAACATACCTGATTGTTTCTATACTGTGCCGTACATGGACATACATTTAAGTTGCAACATTTCTGGTATAAAAATCAGTTTTATTGCTCTGTTGTAATATTCTAACTTGTTGTAGTAACTGAAGTACTGTGTGGGACGAATTGGAGAACCCCATTAAAACCTACATCAATCATCTGGACTCGTGTTTAGGCATAGTGCTCAACATCTGAGGCTTTAAGCAGACTGGGGTTTCTTTCCATTCTTACATAATTAAGATCCGTTGGGGAATCTCTGTTGGTATAAACATAATATTCCTGGAAGAAGGCTTCTACGCTGAGAAAAAAAAGGACGTTGTTCACGATGACGCAGTAACAGACTTAAACTGCGTCCAGAAAATACTGTTTGTTTTGTTTCCTGCTAAAAAAGATGATATAAACTCAACAACTTCTTTGTTACGTTCTACTGTTGAATTGATTGTTACACCAAGCACTGAATTAGTCAGCCACACATAACTTGGAACATTTAGACACTAGTAGGGAGCAAAATTGTGATTTTTGTTACCTTTCCAGCTGATGCGGTTAGCTTTCACACTGCACTGTGTCAAGCAATCCAAACCCTTTGAAGAGACTGTTCCCCTCCTCACCTGTGGTGGCGCTGCACCAAGAAACACTGACACAAAAGCTTCTAAAGAAGACACCGAGAACAACAAAGAACACAAACCATTTCTTCTTCTAGCACGACACTTGCACGTTTGTTTTGGTTCTATTTACTCAAAATGCCCTGTGCTATAGTCTGCTTCCTATTTTCGGAGCGCTCTCGAGTTCACATTTGAGCCGCACAAGAGCTCACCTCAATCAAACCGAGACGGAAGTTTGTAGGCGGAACAGAGTTCTCTTTTTGATTGCACATTCACACCTACCCAAACAAGCAGGACTTCTAGGCAAATGAACTAGAGTTGGATTCAAGTCGACCTAATGGGGTTGGCGTCAGTGTATCTCTGATACACATTGGTGCGCACTGTACTCCAGAAAGCTTCCTAAATGTTGTTTACCAAACCAGGGATGCCTACTGTCAGCCTTATTTCTGTCCTCATGCTCTTCCTTTCCGCTTGGCTGTTCAGTAAAAGAGGAAACCGTCAGTGGGTATCCTGTGCACAAGTGCTTTTTCCTTGTGCCATTGTACAAAGCCTTTCCTTGTGCCATTGTACAAAGCCTTTCCTTGTGCCATTGTACAAAGCCAAAAGTGCAAAGGTAACTGACCCAGAAAGGCTGTACAGCTTCCCCTTTTTAAGGCATAAACAAGATGTGTGTTTTACATAAATAAAAGTATCGTAACGTGTTTGCGCTACACTCAGTAGAGTCGCAACAGGACACCGGGGGGAAAAAATGACATCTGTCAGATGTAGTTTACACTGACAGTAGGGTATTTCCCTCCACTGTCACAGCACAGTGTTTGGACATTAGTTTTCACTTGCTGTTTTGTCTTGTCTCTGTTTACACTGTCAGAGTACTAGATGCATTTATTGATTAAATGAGCAATTGTTTAGAAAAGCACTTCTCCAATAACATTTCATAAGGCTGCGGTATTCAGAGAAAAAAACTAAGCAAAATCTCATGGGTCTAGTATCTCTTTCCATGGGAAAAAGTGGATTTTCTGTCTCCCGAACAATTTGTGGGAGGATTTATATATATATATATATATATATATTAATGTGTATCCTGCAGAAATAACTTTTTTTTTTGTTTTCTAACTGAAGCTACCATATTTTAAATTGCCTACTTTAAAGGTGTCAACCCTGACAACAAGATTCTCAGACATGAAAGAAAAAGTCAATCTCATTTTACTAATACTCCTAACTTTGGTTATGGTTTCTGTTTTTTAATACAAAACATAAAAAACTTTTTATTATTAATTTTACTCTGCTGGAATTTTTTTCTGTTATTTAGATTGCAAGAATGTTCAACTTTGACCTTAGATCCAATCAAACTGCATATTATATACTACGTAACAATTTTTACTTTGTGTGGACAGTTAAAATATTGCTTGTATAAGTTTAAATGAAAATGTTAAAAGGCGTCTAAGGATGGGAAAGAGGAGGTAACCAATGTTCCAATTCCACTTGTCAACATCAGCCACTCGTGATAAATTAGTTAATGATTTGCTTATCTGTTTATTTTATTACAAAAAAAACGGTAGCACCTTATTTGAAGGGGGGTGAATAAGGCTGACATGACACTGTCATAAACATGACATAACACATGTCATGAACATGAATAAGCCTTCATGAATATTTATGACTGTTGTCATAAAGAGTCATTCGGTTAATTATGACACTTTTAATACAAAGTTGACATTATTCAAAATGTCTTTGTTATGACAACTTGACATTAACCAAGAAATCATTATTGATATAAATTTGTTATAAAAGTATTACTGATTGCACTTTAAAAATTAGGTAACTTTATGTTATTAAAGTTAAAGTTTAAACAGTAATGATTTCTTGGTTAATGTCAAGTTGTCATAACAAAGACATTTTGAATAATGTCAACTTTGTATTAAAAGTGTCAATTTATCGAATGACGCTTTATGACAACAGTCATAAATATTAATGAAGGCTTATTCATGTTCATGACAGGTGTTATGTCATGTTTATTAAAGTGTCATGACAGTCTTATTCACCCCCCTTCAAATAAAGTGTTACCAAAAAAACTTTATTCAAAAAATATTCAGTATGAGGAGCCTACATGTTTTTCTAACCATGCCCCTAAAAACACAGTCTGAATAGAAAACCAATGGATAAAAAGAAAAACGTTCCCACTTTGGATAAAAATGTTCACATTTAACTATATTCTCAAGTTGATTTTTCTGTAAATATATGTTCTCCGGCGATGGCTATAGCTATTAGTCACTTTCACTGTAAAAAAAAATAAAAAATCTCAAAAATTTTGATTATCTTCTTTGCAAACCAAGTTAATTAATCTTATTCCATTACATTTTTCTGCTGTACACAGAAATAAACCAGCTTATGGATTTGATTAATTATCGCACAGGGCCTGGAGTTCGGGGAAATTCGAAATGCTTTGTCTCTTCTTGTTTTTCTTTTATGTCCAGCTTGTCCTCCCTGTGTTGTGTCTTTTTTCCAAATGCTCCAAGTCTTGGGAACATTTCTGTTTAAAAGCATTATCTGAGCGCAGCTTATTCATCTCTTCCTGGCTCCAAACTATCTGGGTAAGGAGGGGCCCCTGTGTTTGGCTAGCAAAACGGCTCTCCACTGCTCTGCTATCCAACTTTTTGTTTAAATATCAGACGTCTGTGACAGCTGTTATGAATTCAGGTGTATACATACATGTATTTATAAGCGTTGTTCACCCTGAGGGCAAATAGGAAAATCAAGTACCGGTAGATGCTAGCTTGTATATGAATCTATTCAAAAGATGGCTTTCACACTCCCCGCAGACTTTTTTTTTAAGATATAGTATTTATATGGAAAATCTCACTTGCTTTTGAACAATAAAACTGCTTAAAAAACAGGATTTTCTGCTTGGCAATGACTTCCATGTTAGCTTGCTGAGCTAGCTTGCTCAATTAGCTTTATAAGTTAGCTCTAGCAAGCTTCTTAGCCTTGTAGAAACTTGTTTTTTTACATTTGGGTATTTTATTTAAACAATTTATATCTACTGTTTTAAAATCCACTGTTATGTTTTTCTGCATTGTGTGGATGTTGAAACTTTTTATTGAGAAAAGTGAAGTTCAGCAACAAGTTAAGAATTTGTCCATTAAGCTAGATGCAAACCAAAAATCACTATCAAAGTATTACAATATGTCTATGTATAATTATGTACAGTACGCAGCTCAGATGTATCACTACGCAAATGTCACAGCAATTAGCCAATAATAACCACTACATTACATCGTCAAAGAAGATTCACTCACATCAGCATGCTAAACGCTTAAGAGTGGCTTAACAGGAGGCCTGTCTGACCCATTTTCTGATTAATTCAGCTAATTATTATTAGAGGATGTCATGTAACTTAGAAAGTAGCATACATTTAGCGAAATGGGGGAGAATCACTTGCAGCACATATCTAGTAGATGTGATAGTTTATTTCTTCACATTTAGACTAATGTAAAACATGTCTTGAGATACATCAAGACGTTGCAAGATGAGAAAAACATTTTCCTTCAGATGTTTCTAAATTTCATGATTCTATTCCAAGTCGTCCAGATCCTGTAGCACCAAAGCAGCCAGACATCATCACTGCAATTTTTTTTCTTTCTTTCTGGAATTAGTTTTGCAACAGATGTATCAAGAAATATGCCTTCCAAAATGTTCAGCTTCATTCTTGTCAGTACACAGAATATTTCTCAAAAGTCTTGGTGCTCACCAAGATGGGCTTTTTTGGGGGCGGGGGGAATTTGAGATGTTGTGTTCTTTTTGGTCAGCAGTGGTTTTGGCTTTGGAGCCCTCTGTCCTGTCTCTTCATTATTTTCTAATTAAATCCAATCAAATTGTCAAATGAAACCCAAAGAGGCTGTTAATAACAGCTAACTCATTATCTAACAATGAGCATAATTATATTTTCACCAGTCAGTCGAAAGGTTCTTTGATAATACATGAGGAAAAAGTACAACATCTGAGTTAGTTGGATAATTGAGGGTTAGAGGGCACTCCTCTTACTGCCGGCAAACCCCGTTTAGGACAAGACAGCCTCAGGATGACCACTACCTCCTCCTCCTTCTGAGCACACTTCCTCTTTAAAGTCACTGTGAGGAAGAGAGTTGGTTGCTCGTTCTGTCTCTGTCTGAGCTTGGACTGTGGGTTGTTAAAGCTGTTGGGGTCGGCCGCTCTGTGTTTCTCCTTAGCGCTTCTGGCTGTGGATATGATATGCAGCAGAAAAGGAAGCTGAGATTTCATCTCACAAATGATACATGACCGAACGATTCATCACACAAGGTAACAAAAGTTTAAAAATTCCTTCTGGTTTTTGATTGAAAAAGCTTATACGGGCTCCTGATGATCATTTCATAAAGATGTGGCTTTTCTACAGCATGTTACATGTTATGAGGTGAAATATTACTTTGATTCAGAATGTTATTTAATTGACTCACGATGCTTTATGTCAGAGGAAGTTTCCAGCTTAAAATAGAGTCAATAATCTGCTGCATCCCTGACTATAAAGACCTTCCAGAAAGCATAAAACTGCTCTTTACTTGTAAAAGCTGAAAACCAATTTGCATTGTGTGTTCATCTTTTAAAGAGCCTTTAAAAACACCATTTGCTCAAACTGTAGCAGGACTTTGATACCATAAAACTCCCCCTCGTTCTGCTTGAAAATGCACTTTTTACACGCAAACCCCTGGAAATATACAGGCATGTTTATTTTCACTATCACAATTACAGTCGATATTCTATACATTACTGCTTGCTGGCGTTTGATATAACATTATGTACCATAAACACAAATATTATCGGGCTAGGTAAAGTTATTAAGAAAGTGGAAGTGGTTCTAACACAAAATCTGATAGTGGTTGTTTAAGAAGACTAAATGCTGGATCGAAAGATGCAAAAAAATAAGTTAGTGCAGCTTCTGTTGTTTTGTTTTTGTTGTTTTATTACCCATGCACATTTTTTTATTCTCCCACAGGATGTTTGTTCACATTTAAGGTTTGAAAGAACTTGGAAATTATTTATTGTGACCTCATTTTTTTTTATCATAAAAAACCTACATAAACAGTGGTAGTTTTGATACCACAGAGGCAGCTCCCCAAAGGGGCAGCTCCCCATTTCCAAAGGGGCGGCATAAAAACTCAGAAAAAAAAATATACCGACTGAAATAATTTGGAGAAGCTGAGTATTAACCAACTAGATAAAGTTTTGTGAACAATTCTATCATGGAAATAAGCATAACAAAAATGTAGCTTTGAGAAAACTATTCAGAGAAAAATTTAAAAAGTAAAATGAATCCCTGGGTAGAGGTCCAAGAAAAGTGAAGTCACACTAATAATTACATTTTTTTTGTTTGTGAATGAGTTTTAAATGAGTCTCTAGGTCTTTCTAACAAAGGGAGGCAATCATGCAAAGACCGCCACTGCATATGAACAAAATAACCGATAAAAAAAAATTATTCTCCAGGATCTGTATCACATCCTATGATTTATCAAATTTTCTCAATATAAATTGCTGCATTCTCCAAACACATGCCCTCATCTGATCTCTGCTCACTTCATTACAAAAGAGACAACAAATAGGGTCAGACCCGTCACAGTTGAGGCGACCTATGACCCCTGTTGCGTGTGACTTTTTTATCGGTTTAATCTGCAGCTTCAGCAGCTCTTTTACAGAAAGGCACCACAGAGAACATGTGGTGAATATAAATAAGAAAATTCATAAATACTCAGCTGAAGTGGACCCTTGAGCTGCACAGTGATCTGCACAAAGAACTATTTTAAGTGGCCCTATTTTAAGAATATTAACGACTAGTTCACTTTAAAGAGAAAGCACATTTTTAAGCTCTTTCAGCTCACTTTAAGGTGCGGACAGACAGAAATGGGTTTCTGTGTTGTTATTTCCTGCGCACACCAATATGGGTGAAATCCCCCAATACTACAGTATGTGGGAGAATGTCTTATGGGTCTGATGGAACCAAACTCAGATTAACTTTTTTGGCCACAAAATCCAAAAGGTGGTACATAAAACACTGCAGATCGCCAAGAGAACGTCACCCACAGGGAAACATGTTGGCAGCACTGACCCCAGACTTTGAAATGAAAGTTTTGGAATAATTGAGGGCAAGACGAGACAATCTCAGAGATCTGGCAAACTATTGCTAGGTAAAGTGGGCGAATACCAAAGATGTCTGATTCCTAAAGATTAATCAAATTAGTATTAGTTTTTAGTTTAGTTTTACAGGATAAATATCAGATTATTATTTGGATTGGAAAGGATTCATCAAGGTCTCCGCTACACCAGAACCTGGCATTTTAACAGAAGTGTCCAGCATTTTAGGAGTTTAAATCTAAGTGATTTGATATGAGTCCATCTACACTTTTTGAGGCACATTACTGAGCATGTGTGTATCATCATTACTGATTCAATCTCTTCCTGTTTGGTTTTATTTTTGCAATAAATTCCTCCAGCTTACTTCCTCTGCTGCATCCTCTTTTGTATCTTATTGCATCCGTTCGGTTGTTTCTCTTAACCTAAAACTGTCGTCTTGCTTCTTGCAAGCCGACAAGGTCATACAATGCATTTGCATGTTTGTGCAAACATCCGACCCCACACAAGTATAGCCATAAACCTTCTGGGTCCCCCACTGCTTGGTTTTTATAGTTTGTTTTTGCTTCTAGGGTAGCTGTTTACTGGAGTGCGTGCAAATGGAAGGAGGCCTGCTGATTTCACCAGTGATGGCCCACGCTCTGGTCTCGATGGAGAACCTCGTCTACATCATCACCGTGCCTCTGTCGACCTCCATCATCCTGGCCAACCTGGTCATCATCCTGGGCATCTCATGCAACCGGCAGCTCCACAACACGCCCAACTACTTCTTCCTCAGCCTGCTGGTGGCCGATATGTGCACAGGCGTGGCGCTGCCCTTCATCCCGTTGATGGGTCTGAACCGGGAGCTGAGCTTCAGTTCCTGCCTGGTGGCTCACATCTTCCCGAATTTCCTCTTCTTGGCATTTTTGTCCAACCTGGTGATGGTCCACTATGAGCGCTACATTTGTATCGTCGATCCTCTGCACTACAACACCCTGTGGATGCATCGGCATTTCTCCTTGGCGCTGCTTATAGTGTGGGCACCGCCGCTTTTGTTTGCGTCTCTGCCCGCTTTCGGGTGGAGCAACTGGTCCGGGCCGGATTGGAACGACTGCTGTGAAAGTGCCGTAAAGTTCCCGCCTCTTTCTAACTGTACGGCCAATCTGACGTTGTGCTGCTCTTACAGGAGGGTGTTCCCCAACGCCTTCATCTACTTAGAGGTGTACGGCCTTGTTTTACCAGCCATTCTTCTCATCGCTGGCATGATCGGACGTGTACTGTGGATCACAAGAGGCCAGATGAAGGACATCTGCCGCCTCCATAGAGCGGTGGAGCGAGGAAACCAGGCGTCGGACCAGGAACAGAGGCTGAACTTGCGATATACCCGCTGCTTAGTGGCGGTGTCCCTGACCTTTCTGGCCTGCTGGGTTCCCTACCTTATTTACATGCACGTCTGTATAGCGTTCCTCATCATTGACACCAAGCAGAACTCCATCACTCACATCGTGTTGTCCTGCATCGGCATCGGAAGTATGGCCGTGGTGCCGATGGTCCTCGGTTTGGCCAACAAGCAGTACACGGAACCAGCGTTCAAGCTTCTCCAGAAACTCAGAGACAGGTGGAGGGCACGGGGTTCAGACGAGACTGCAATCTGAAATAATGCTCCTTGGCGCATTAATATTTATCGAGTTTTCTCTGCAAGAATTGGTATCGGAAAGAGTTTGCGGCAGCTTATTTTACAGTGAGTTGAATTATGGTACCGTTAAGATAATATGTCATAGCAAAGGCATCATAAAGTCTTTATAAATGTCAAATAGCGAAGTTATCTCCAGTAGTTCCCTTACCTATAGTAGGAAAATGTCACATGGTCATATGTTATAAAAATAGTCATTGTCAGAGCAGAGGCTAACCACAGCCATTTTTGTTCTCGCTCAAACTAAATTAAACTTAACTTGAACTACAAAACTAGTATAAAGGTTCAAAGAAAAAGCTTTTCAAGTTGCGCACACATGTCCTATAGAAATGTGTTTATTTGGTAAAATGAACCAAAATTTTACACCAAGAAAAACATAACAGCTTTAAGAAAACATATACTGGTTACTGAACAGAAAGTTGTATGTTTTTGGAAAATGGAGAAAAAAAAACAATATTTTATTTGTAACATAATAAAGAACCTGCATGAAAACACTGAAATTACATTTTAATGCTGGCTTTATATTTATTAGCATTGTCCACAGCCACATGTGGATAAATTGCTAAAAAAAATCTGATAAAACGGACGGAGTGGTGAAAGTCTAGTCTTCCACCACTCCTTCTGGATGAATGCCGCCCTGGGTAAGTGCGTCATTCTGCCACCCAGAGCACAACCAAATATGTGCTCACACACCCAACAAAGCCCAGTAAAAATGATATCACTAGAAAATATTCATCTGTTATTTACTGATCTAGAAAGATGGATATGTGAATAGTTTTCAACTATATTTTTTTCCACATAAATATTTCTCAAACCATCAAGTGTCTTTAAAAAACTGCATAATTAAGTCCAATCAATTTTTATTTGTATGTATTTATTTATTTATTATTTATCTTATTTTTTAAATATATAAATGTAAACTAAAAAAATCTATTTTAAAATGTAATATGCTATTTTTTGCTTCTCACATTTCTCGTCATCTGTGGAAGCTCTGACTCCATTAAAACAATAAAATAGTGCAAAATAAACCACAAAAATAAAAAACTGCAATGTAATACAAACTATGGTGGCATCAGCCACCTGTTTTTACAGGATTCCTGCCACAGAGGGGCGCCAAATCCCATTCACTATGCATGTAAATATTTCATTGTCGACCTACTTGATTTTTTTTTCTCCTCTAGTAGAAAATCAGTTTTAAAAACACAACTAAATGTATTTACTTTTCAAAGAACTTAGCTAAATATAATCTGTAAGGGAATCACTATTATTAATAACTTTCAGAAATGTAGAAAGTTCTTCAACTATGCCTTATCATATGCAACATGGTTATGAAAATATAGCTCCAGTTCATTCTGGATTACTTCATTTTGTTTTGTTTCAATTATTAATTCCACACAAATAAATAACCTTTTATTAGGATCCAACTTGAATAATTGTTTCCTTTCTAGTTGAGTAGAAGTTACCAAGGCCCCCTAACCCCACCTTTTAGATGCACCCTTGATTTAAGATGAAGATACGATGCCCTTTCACAATATGAAGCAGTAAAAATAGAAGATGCCCTCTAGGGCACTATAATCTCAGAGAAAAAGGGTTTCAGATGTCTTTTAACCCTTGTGCGTGCGAGGACTGAGGCAAACGTAGAGGTCTATGGAAAATGATACAGGTTTTACATGTGTGGGGTCGGTTGGATCCCATTTTGACATACAAGGGTCAAAGCCTTCAAGTTCCCTCCAGGAGATGATGGTAAAGCAAAGATAACTTGGAAGAAGAAGAAGAAGAAGAAGAAGAAGAAGAAGAAGAAGAAGAAGAAGAAGAAGAAGAAGAGCAGCGGGCCATCTAAGGAAAAAAAACGGAGGGGTCTTGCAAATACTTTTCCTTTTGCATCATAAAAATCTTCCTGTCTTTTTATCAGATGTTTCTTCATTTAGCTTAACATATTTGTGCGTCACCTTAACATTATGCACAAAAAATACACTTATCGCAGGAATGAAGTTTGTTCTGATTTTACTTGAAAGCATTTCTGCACATCCATCCATCCATCCATCCATCCATCCATCCATCCATCCATCCATCCATCTTCTTTACACATTTCTGCACATTTTCGTGTCATAATTAATAACAAACAAGGACAAATTAACAGCGAGGAGAAATTTCTAATATGAAAAACTTAAAATTCAGCAAAGCAAATATGTGTTGTCCGTCGACATCACTGTCCAAACAGAGGTTAGTTTTAAAGAAATGCTTATTTTCACCATCTGAATCTTTATTTTAGAAGGACTATTTCCTCCGTCTTAATTTTGAATACACTGCTGAGTTGTTTAAAAGAAAGAGTGCCACCTACCAGAGCCGTACGTATTCTGGCAATTTTTTTTTTTAATTTGTTGTGTCACATTAATATGAAGAAAATTTTTTCTGTTTTTACAATTTAATTTTTTTTTTAAACAAAAAAATTTTATAACACAAGAACCTTGCGTTGTGCAAGACAAATGTGCTTCACCCGGCAACAGTGTAATATCAAGCTATCTTCTGTATATTTTCTCGTGTGTCGAACTTTAACATCAAATTTTATAGAAACAGCACGTAGCTGCAACTGTATTTATTACCCATGCATCAGTGATGTACAGTGTAGAAGCACAGCTCACAGATGAACATGATGTCAGCATTTTTCGTGCACAACCTCAGTTGAAAAGAGTCATTGATTTTCTCCATCTGTCATTTCTCCTTGCTGACAACGTTTACTCCTACTTCCATCAGCAGTGTTTATCTGTGTTCCGGTATGCAGGCTGTGGAGGAAAGATGGATGCAAGGGCAACCACAAATAAATCTCCAAGGCAAGAGGGGATTTGGCCCAGCAATAAGAGCATGCACGACAAGAAGCTATATCTTTGTATCCAGGTTCCAGATACAAGGATAAAATATTGACTGAATCAACTTGTAACACTGAAATCAACAATGTTGCAAATTGATTAAATCGACTTGCAACATTTATAGTTCTCACAATTTAATTCTGATGCATAGACATCCTCAGAATTAAAGCCGTCTGAGCATTTATTAGCACCCCTATTGATGATATTTAAAAATATATCAGAATAAATTCACCATCTATTCAGTAAAAAAATAATGCAGAACTAAAACGTTTTTAATATCCAACCTTGAATTTAAGTTAACTACTTCAGTGAAGAAACAATTTCACCATAGGGAGTAAGATTTTTTTTTCCCCTTAACTCTTCAAAATGGAAAATACAGAAAATCAAACACTATAAGCCCCTTTACGTTTTAAGCTGACATTTATTCAGTGGGGTAAATATATATATCAATAAAAAAAATTAAAGTGAAACTTTGCTCGAAACAGGGGCAGGACACCTACAGATAAAATAAATAAATATATAAAAATATGTTTAACTCACCTCTGGTGTCTTCCTGTATTGCCGTCCGTCACCTGCCCTCGTGTCACAGGTTCCCGTTGCCCCTTTCCACTTCTTGAAGCCCCTAGCTGCCACAACCTTAGCTAGGAAGTGGGTGGATAACCAGCCGTGGCCCTTAATGAGAGGGTTAAGCGAAAAAACTTTCCTCAAAAGTGTGGAAAAACAACTAAACAGAGCAGTCAACGTTGGAAGTCAATTTTCCCAATTTCACTCAAACATAATTGCGTTTTTTCCGTTTAATTTATCGGCGCGCCTTCATCATTTAGCTTATTTGTTTTCTTAATTTTGATTGGCTAATGAGACGAAGTGGTGCGTTTAAAGGGCAGAATGTGACAATGGACGTTTTAAAATTAATTTATCGTGCGTGTTTTCTCTCTTTTTTAATCTAAAATGCTAAATAATATGCTGTGCCTCCATTTTTGCTAATTGGAACCACGTCCTTTAGTCACCTGACTGCAAAGAACTAAAATGAGATCGGGGTACCAATAATGGTAGCATAATACAGAATTTGTATTTTCTGCATATGGAGGAAAACATTCAGTTGGAGGCAGAGTAAGAGGAAAACAAAGGCCTTAATAACATTAAAAAGCAACCAAGACATCAACTATTGGGGCAATAAGAAGCCCAGCAGTCCAGGGATGCTTTTATTACTCAGTTACATCATGTTCAGGTTATTCCATTGGACTATCTTGTATGTTTCAGGAAGACAGAGGAGAACCGGGAGACGAGGAAGGGGCAATCGGATGAGATTCCTGGGCTAAATGGTGCAGTGTCTCTTTTAGTGATGAGTGTGTTCCATACATGTGTGTGCATGAGGGAAATAAAAAAAACAGACTCAGCATTTGTGGAGGTTAATTTATTAGCACAAAACCCTGAAATCTGATAACTTTAGATTCATTTGAAAGATTTGAGACTCACGTGAGCACAAGAGCCAACAGAGTAGTTCAAAGTTGCAGCATTGCAATGCTGTAGGACAATGTACCAAAACCAGAGCAATATATATATATATATATAAATATATTGTTGAACTTTTAAGTACCAGTCTGAGAACCTTTCCTTATTGTTTTTATCTGCAATTTCTGACTCATACTGGTAAGATGGGAATCAAGCAAACGGAAACAATCCCGTATGCTCGGACCCATAAAGCCATTTATCCTGAAATAAAAACAAACCTTTACACTAGAAGGTTTTTTTGCGTCACAAAGACAAAATCTCAGGGCTCGGGTCATCACTGTCTGAAGGAAATAACACATGGTTCTCCATGAAAGGATGAAAGGAAACACTGAAGCCCCAAAGGCATTGCACATCCCAACAAAAGATAAGAAAAAAAAACCTTTCCAAAACACACGGCTTGACGTAAACCAGTTCAAGCACACATTCAACCTGCCACCAAGCTGCAGTCAGACGTTCACTGCCAGAAAACATGCAAGAGAGAGTACTACTTTTAATTTCATCAGGAGGTTTAAATGGTTCATTATAGCTTCATTTTGGAAATAATTTGTTCACATTTTGCGGATTTGGCTGCAGGAAGTCCCAGAAAAAAAATCAGTCAGTGTACTGGGTGCTTTCGGAGATAAGCTTTCCATATTTCACCTCCACCCGGATCAGCACACGCTTTTTGGAGGGGGTGGGAGATTCCTGTGTACTCGCGGGGTTTGGGGTCTCGTCCGGTTTCGGGACGATGCTGGACTCGACTGTTGGAGGTTTCCCTCGTTTGTCTCGCAGGTGACTTCTTTCGGGCAGGTGGTTTTTCTCTTGCGGGTGTTTCCTCTCTGGGTGAACGTCTGCGTGCAAGTAAGGACTTGGATTGGTTGTTTGCATTTAGTAATCTGAGCGGAAGAGAGGTTTGATTTTAGTGAAGCACAAAACAACAGTGAAGATTGAGATCTGCAGAAATTTGTTACATGCGTGTTATTGTCATATTTGGAAACTGTGGCATCTGTCATTTTTGTCGTTTTCTCTACTTAGTCCTGTGACATCTTCAAAAACAAAAAAAATAAATAAAACGAGCAAGCATTCTAACTGACCTCCAGCTGGATCAAAAAATTTGTAATTTTCTGAACAAAAATTAACTTATAAGTTATAATTATAAAATAATTTTCTTGTTCTTTCAATTTACAATTCCTATGTTTCTTATACAACTTGTGAATTTTTAAGAAAAGGTGCGTTAGGGTGTTAAGGTGTGTTAAGACTGTGTTAGAAGGATGTATAGCATATAAAAATCAAAGAAATTTCTAACAATTATTTTATTGGTCACTAAAGCATTCCAATTCTGCATATTTTTCATTGGTTAGTTTGAGATCACAACATGCAACAAGACAACTCTGAAATGCCACAATTTAGATTTTTCTCTAAAGGTTATTCATGTGTCTGAATGGTAATAAAATGTCTCTCACCTGAACGTTGAAAGTTGTTCATTCTTCATGGAGATAAAGGAGAGGGGAAGACGTTAGTCAAAGCGTTCGCACACTTTAATCTTATTGACACGATCTCACGTTGCAATGTCTGCCGACCCTTACCTCTGCTCCTCGCCCTCTAGCAGCCCACGGTAGGTGGCAATCTCGATGTCCAGAGCCAGTTTGATGTTCAGCAGGTTCTGGTATTCGCGGATCTGGTTGGCCAACTCCTGCTTGTTTGCCTTCAAGGCCTCCTCTAGCTTCTTAATGGTATTTCTGGCCGCCTCCATGTTCTCGTCGCCATCTGTTCTTGCTTTGTCAATGTCGTTTTTCAAGGACTCTTCCTTAATGTGGCAAAAAAGCAACGGATATCAGCAGGACGGTCAGAGTGTGTGTAAAGGGGTTACTGTCTACCGGGTTCTTACCTTTCTTTTCAGACTGTCCAATTCAGCAGTCAGCCTCTGGATTTGGCGCAAGAGGTCAGAGATGTCCCTCTTTTGGTCACGGACTTCCTGCTCCTTCTGCTGTGAACTTTGCTCCAAGGACTCAATCTGAAAGTTGGGAAAAGTTTGAAGCATTTACTTGCACTGTTATGAAAGGACTGGATCTGTTTTATTTCATCCTCACCTTTCTCTGGTTCCAGTGCTCCGCCTCATCCCTGGCGCGAGTGGCATATGTGGCGTACTGCGCCTCTACGGTCTTGACGTAGTCATCCATGTCCAGAGACCGTTTGGCGGACTTGGGAAGGGTGACTGTTTCGTTCTTGATCATCGACTGCAGCTCCTTGATCTCCTGCAAGGTGTTGAGGAGGTAAAAACAGTTATGATGAGTTTTCAACCTTTTTAAATGTATCTAATGTTCAGTGAGTAAGTAAGTTAATAGTTTTCTGTTACCTCGTCGTAGCCATCCCTGAGGAACTCCAGTTTTCTGTTCAGATCCTCCAGATCCAGAACCTTGTTTACCAAATCCAGATGTCCTTCATCTACGTTCTGTTGCACACATATAATTTAAATTGTAAGTGGAAAAAAATAATGTAAAAATGGAACATTTCATAACAATGAAACATGTTTAGCGGTTTTCATTCCCCCAAAAGCAGAATATTGTGGTATTACCTTTTTGGCAACAACAAACTCAGTCTCCAGCTCAGTTCTCTGTTCTAGTACATCCTCATAGCTGCAAGCAAGAGAGAATAAAAGGTAAAGACATGACACTGCAGGAAACACAGGTATGTTGGAGTCATCCACAATTTCAAACATGGACACCATCTGTGAGCTGCTTACATCTTCTTGGTGTCATCCACCTCCTTCGAGATGTCTTCAAGCTCATTCTTCAGTTTTTCCTGGTCGTTCTTCAGGTTGTCAATCTTCTCCTGCAGTTTGTTCTCCACCTGCCTGACGATGGCGTCCACGTTCCCGCTGTAGTCCTCCTGACCCTTCAGGATTTCCAGCTTCTTCTCCAGTTTCATTTTCTCATCCTCCAGTTCCTTCACCTAAGAAAAAGGAAGAACAAGAGATGTTCACTGGATATAAAAAAGTAAAAGTCATTTGTAGTAATTGAGGCAAATAGTAACTTTGCATTTGTTGCACTTTCAGTGTCTGCGATGTGTCCGATATCTCATTTCTGGGAGGGAAACAGCACCTTAAAGATTTGTAAGGAATGTCATAGCACACTATCGCTAATTTTAAGGTTCGTCTGTGTTTTCTTTCAATTTTCCCCTCATTTTTCCAGTTTTACACTGAATTGGGCCCATTCCACTAATTTACAACAAGATGGCGCTCTTGTTTGCCACACACAATAGGAAACCGAGGAGAGTGAGTCACTTTTCATGGCCTCAGGTGCTAATTTTACGGTATTATTATGTTTGAACTGTTAAATGTTGATGTTATTATGTTATTATTAGGTCTCATTATGTGTTTTTGTATTTTTTTTTCTTTTACCTGAATACTTAAAATTTCAAAGTAAGCTTAATGAAAATGAGAAAAAGCGTGTCTTTCTTTACCATATTGTATCCACTACAATAATTAGGCAAATCTTTTTAAAGCACTACAAGTTACACACACACACACACGCACACACAAAGCCTCCTTTCTTAGATTAGAAGTACTTTTTAAAATGACCTTTAAACTGTTGAACAAGATTTTCATTCAGCCAGCGTTACTGTAATGTTTTCTTTTTCTCTAATCTTGCATGTATGCAAGCTGAGAATCATCAAAATTAACAAACGCGAACGCTTAAAAAAGTCAGTCTGAGTGTAATTAATCTATTTAAATTAACAAATAATACAGCACTGCGAAAAATTAAGAGACCCCTGCACTGAACCCCATTAAAAAATTCATCCCACCAAATATTGATTTATGAACTCTTTTTGAGTTAAAACATTAGAACCGTTTCTAAATTAATATTAACTTGTTTTCTTTGCATTAGTTTAGGTCTGAAAGCACTGCATCTTTTTTGTTATTTTGTCCATTCCTTGTTTTTTGCAAATAAATAAAAAAAATTTTGTTTGGAATTTCAGAGACATGTTGTCAGCAGCTCATAGAACAAAATAGCAATATTCATTTTACTTCTATGCCTATAAAAAGTAAAATCAGAGAAACTGATCATTTTAAGTGGTTTCTTAATATTTTTCCACAGCCTATATATAAAAATAAATAAATAAATGAATAAATAAAATTGTACAGACCTTGTCGATCAACTGGACAAACTTGTCGTTGAGGTCAACCAAGATTTTCTTCTCCGCGGTTTTCCCCTTTGAGTCGAGCTTTGGGGTGGCCACGCTCATTTTGGGCTTTGTTTCTCTGGGTTCTGAGGTCTTGCTGCTGTAATCACTTCGTTTTGACATGGTGCTGAACCTTGGAGACTGACTGAGCAGATGAACTGAGATCCTACCTCGCATCACCTTTATAAAGTTGTAGGATGCACCTCCCCAACAACTTTGCAAGTGTCCAATCAAAACAGAACATGTGCCAAATTACCAGAGAAGTCGACATGAAATACTTGAATTTCAGCACTGAACCTGTTTGTCCAAGAGTGAGGAGGCAGAGTCCTTAATGTGGGCGGATAAGAAGGCAGAGAGGAGCTATAAAACTCAGCCCCCTTCCTTTCCATGCAGGAGTAGCCTTACCCATCATCGTTCAGCCAGTTCTCTGTCATCCATCATCAGCAAACATGTTTCGCAACAGCAGCGCCAGCATGTATGGAGGGGCCGGCGGGAGGGGCGCTAAGGCGTCCGTGTCCAGCATTGAGGGACTCCGCAACGTCCTCCACAACAAAATCGAGAATGACTCCGCTCCGGCCATTCCCACCACCGCTCCGGTCACTGCTTCCCAGCCCAATGGCAGTCCCGCCCACGTCTCTCTCCCAGAGAACAAGCAGGAGCTGCAGGGCCTGAACAACCGCCTGAAGAACTACCTGGACAAGGTGCAGCAGCTGAAGGAGGACAACGGCAAGCTGCAGAAGGAGATCGATGACATTCTGGCCAAGAGGAAGGCTCCTGAGATCAGAGACTGGGATAAAATCCAGAAACCACAGGATGATCTCGACAAGGAGGTGGGTTAAGATAAACATTAAATATTCTTGTCTGTCTTCTTCTTCATTATCATCATCTTCTCTTTCTTATTATATGTTTAGATCAAGAATCTCACCTTGGAAAATGCCAAGCTGTTGCTCCAGATTGACAACAACAAGCTGGCCCTGGAGGACTTCAATAACAAGTGAGCTGAAACTCTTGTCTTATGGTTATTTGCTCAGTCAGAATTTACATCACATCCATACTGGAAGGAAAATAGATTTCCACCTTTATTTCAACTCATCTTTGCAGCATTGCATGGGTGCCGCTGGTCCCATAAGTCCAATGATCATTTGTTGATGGGTAGGTCCCCAGTATAGGGCAAACAAAAAAACAAAAAAAACAAAAAAAAAAACAAGAGAAGCTCATTTTGTTTCCAAGTAAGACCATGAAAGTCCTCTAAGCCTTACGACTTCTTGGCAAGGGGCAAAGAGTGAAAAGTTTCTAGTGGCTCATTTGACGTGTTGCACTTGTGATGATGTCTCCGATCTCCCTTAACAGGTTGGACGATGAGTCAAGGATGAAGAAGGAGTTAGAAAAAGACATAGACACCCTGAAAAAGGACATCGAGGAGACCAAGCAAACCCGAGATCAGCTGCAGAAGGAGATGGAACTGGTGGAGGATGAGGTGAAACGCCTTGAGACTGACCACAAGAAGGTAAGGCTAAGTTTGCTTGGATCTGCAGTGTTATTTTTGATACTTGTTTAACTCTTAAGCACACGGTTGTTGTAGGAAGTTGACAACCTTTGTGAGAAGATCAAGAACTCAGAGGTGAAGGTGGAGATTGACTCCCAGAACTCCAACCTGGCCGACATTGTCAAAAACATACGGATCCATTACCAAAAACAGGCTGACAAGAACATGAAGGAGACAGAGGAATGGTACAAGGAGAAGGTTCGAAAATGGAAACCGGGCTGCTGATTTCCGCCCGAGCTCATCTGATTGTCTCACCATGTTTGTTCCTCCCATTCTAGTTTGACAACATCCAGGTGAAGGAGGCCCACAACAACGAGGCTTTGGAGTCCGGAAAGTCAGAGTACAACAAACTGCTGAAGGAGAAGAAAAGCCTGCAAATGCAGATTCAGGCTAGCCTCAGCACGGTTTGTAAAAACTCCCACACAAGCCCAACAAGAACGCGCTTTCTGGTTCTTCAGACCTTTCACAATGGTTCCTAATAAATTTGGCCAAAAATAATAAGATACGAGCAGCAAGGTTTTACAAAAATGCTAGCTTTAGTCGTTTTTATGGACTATCTGCAAAAGTAATTCCTCCAAAAGGATCTAAGTCCTGTACATTAGATCTAACAAATCACACTTTTCTGCTTCCAGATCAAGGCTTTGGAGGACAATCTGAACAAAGTCCAGGCTGAGAACAACTACCGACTGGTCCCCGTCAACAACATCATCGTCAGCCTGGAGGCTGAGCTGAAGGAAGTGAGGGCTCAGGTGGAACAGAAGGTGGAGAGCTACAAAAAGCTGCTGTGCCTCAAAATGAAGCTGGAGAAAGAAATCCAAGAGTACGACAACCTGATGGGCATAACAGCTGACAAAGAGAGGTGAGGATGCTCCTCCGCTCCTTTTCTGCTTACCTTTAGCATTTCCTTCTTGTCGCTCTTAGTTTGTTTTAATGGACAAAAACTCCTACCAGAATAAAGGGTAAGCCAGTTAAATATAATACTTGGTGCATTTTTTATCCTCTTCTTCTCTGACAGCTTGGAGCTTAATATAAGGGACGCATTGTCACAGGGTAAGTTCTGGATTTGCCTCCTAGGACAGTGCTAAAAACCCAAACATGAAGGCAGATCTCCCGAGCAACCCACTAACCCTCTCACCAAAGCAGACATGGGTCAACAACTCACCAGACGGATGCTATCGGTTCACTCTTGCAATCTGATTGGCTGACTTCCAACAGGAAGAAACAAACAAACGCAAAAATGTGACCCTTGTTCTCCCACACGACATGTGTAAGCAGTTTGGTTGATGCCGTGGAGAGATTGATGAACAGCAGATATGCTCTTATGGTCAAATGAAAGACGACATGCGTAACTCTAAATGGCAGTAAAGCAATTTTTCTTTAAAATAATAATAATAAATTTTATTTGTAACGCACCTTATATTTCAAAGAAATCTCAAAGTGCTACAGAGACTAAAAAAAAAATAAATAAATAAATTGTAGAGCTTACAGTAATGCTACGTTTATGGCTATAAAAGAAAAACATTCATACCTTCCATGTCTGTTGTGCCTTGGGGCAAGTTGCCTGTCTCTCCACTGTTTGACGCCACAGTTTACACCAGTTATTAAGGAAGTGCTCAGTTAAACATGAATGCCTCACACCGCTTTTTGTATAACAAAAAGTTTAAGAAGTGCGCTTAAAGGCTTTCAGAAGAGATCCTGAGTCTTTGATGCCATTAAGGGCACTTCCACTATTTTTAACTGTTAATACTACTAACTGCAGCAAATTGCCGTCGTCTTCTAAATGCGTAACCACAACCTGATTCTACTAAAAATAAAAATAAAAAACTAGAAAAATTAAAAGTCTCACCGCATTCAAACCCAAATCAAGCTCATGACGAACTAGCTTCTGATTTAGCGCTTTTTGCAAAATCCGGATGAAGGGCAAAAGGAACACCTGCACACGGTGCGAGGAGGGAAGCCCTGTAAAACATGTCCTGTTTCTGTTCACAGAACAACAGAGTCCTAACAATCAGGACAAGGAAGGGATGAAAGAGGTCCTGGTGGATGATGGCCACGTCCCCATAACCCAATCCCAAGCATCCAACATTCAATCGGCGGCTGCGGATTCTGGTAACCTCGACAAGGAACCTAAGAAGCCTAAGAAACCCAGCAGCCAGAAAAAATCCAAAAAGAAGCAAAAGAAGGCTAAGAAAAATTCCTCCTCCTCTTCTTCATCCTCCTCTTCTTCTTCTTCTTCTTCCTCCTCCTCCTCCTCATCTTCCTCCTCTGAGTCTGACAACGAAGAAGAAAAGGACACGCCTGAAGTGCTTGTGGAAGATTGATGTTTTAAAATCGGTGCTCTTATCCGTTTTGTTTCTCTCACTCAGTAAAAGAAAAATGATTGGTACTGTTAAAGCCGCATAATAGGTATGGGGGGTTCTTCAAACGTGTCTTCTATGGTGTGAGCAAAAATAAAGATGTTTTCGATGCAGAAACAGACTCTTTTGATTTGTGTTGGTGTCAATAATTCTTACAAGTGACCATAAATGACAAAGAGGAAAAGTAGTTGACATTTTCCTAATATTATCCAAATAATGTACCCTTTATGACTATGTAACACCCAAAAATGGCTTTCATATGCCAAGTAAGCTAAGAGGTGGCCAAATAAATATGAGACATAAGCAAAGTTACTTGTTAATTTGTGAGAAATTTAAACTATTCGCCTTTTAAGATTTTAATTTGTCACTCCTAAATATTTAAAATGATCAAAACAAATCTCAGCACCAGGAGAAGACAACCTGAAAAAATAAAAAAAGTAGTTTTTAGTTTTGATAATTAAGCCTTCCAAATACAACCCTTCACCCTCTTAAATCTACAAACAATTGGGATTAATTTCAACTTTCAGATGGCTGAATTCAATTTAACAAGCCACACAGAGACCTGACCAAAGGACCGATAAGATGAATAAGGGTAGAGATCTCAAAAAGCATCACATCATGCCTCAATTTGAAAATCTGACAACAAATGATGAAAAACAATCGTCATCAGTCTGAAAAAAGTCATTTCTAAGGCTTTGGTATGCCAGTGAATCTCCAGGAGAAATGGAGAAAACATGGAACATTGGTGAACCAAAATCACTCCAAGAAAGTATCCATAACTCATCCAGGAGGTCACAAAAGAACCCAGAGCAACATCCAAACAGTGGTGGAGAAAGTACTCAAAAAATGTACGTAAGTAAAGGTACAAATACACAGACAAAAATGTACTCAAGTAAAAGTAAAAGTACCACATTAACATTTGTACTTAAGAAAAAGTAAAAAAGTACTGGTTTTAAAAATACTTAAGTATTAAAAGTAAAAGTACTTGCTGAATGCATTACCTAATCGCTAATACAATATCATTAAGTGAACCAATCATATTTAATTTTAATACATCAGAAATGTGTCATTTTAATGAACAATGCCACAGGTAAAGCATGTTTTTATTGTGTTTACTCTCTGTAACATAGTTTTAGACTTACTGATTCTATGCATCATAATTTCAGGGATGGAAACATCTTGTCTCCTGTCCTAACATAGCATGAACTTCACTTTTTTTGCCACTAGTGGCTTTTATTTTGAAAGAAATCCAACAGAAAGGGGATGGAAAGAAGGTGGGTGGGGTAGAACATGCAACCAAGGAGCCAGTAGCAGAGTTGTAGTCAAGACCACAAACCCAAGACCAAGTCAAGACCAGCACCCGGCGCTGCGTGACACAAAAAAATAAAGTTTTACCTTCAAA